CTGCTGCTGTCCGGCGCTCAGCGGGCAGGCGCGCGCGGGGTCATGCAGGCCCGCCGATTGGTGCAGTGCGCGCCCGACGGTGGTGCTGCTACCGGCACAGCCTATCCAGCGCCTGGGTGCGGAATATCACGTAAAATTCGATGCTCAATTCCAGCTCACAGCATTCGATGTAGCCTAGACACGCGATCGCTGATTTGAAGGGGATTTGAGATCAAGCCGTTGTGAGCTGTTGATCCTGTCCAATTGATCACCCTATTTCCCCAAAGATCACACCCTGGGCACCAAGCCTGGTTGAATCCCTCCCCGCCCCGCACGTAACTGCACCTCTCACCGCAGTGACTGCGATTGATCTCGGCGCCGTGCCGGCGAGTTGGTTTTGTCCAGCAATAGACCACATTGTCAAACAATCATAACGGGTATACAAGTGGTACGCCCACGGCCCTAACGCCCCATGGCGCTTTCGACGTGCCCCGGATCCACGTCCTCATCGCCCCTCTTGGGGTGCTGCCGCCCGCCCCTGGCGTCTCCAGGCGCACCTATAGCTCGCCATGCATCCCGCATGCTCCCTATAGCTCGCGTCGCGCAGGCCGCGGACCCGTTCGCCTGGACGGGCTCCGATGCCTTCACGCCGCTCGGCGACAGAGTCGACGCGCCGCCGCTGCCGCTGCCCCGGATCACGCGCCGCCGCCGCGTGGTGCTGGTGCGGCACGGGCAGAGCACGTGGAATGCGGAGGGGCGGATACAGGGCAGCAGCGACTTCTCAGAGCTGACGCCCAAGGGCGTGAAGCAGGCGGAGACGACGCGCGACATGGTGCGACGCGCAGGAGTGCGGACGTGCGGGCGCATACGTGCACACGTCCGCTCATGCATGTGCGGTTTCTCGCCCCGCATGACTCATGCCAGGCAGCCTCGCCCACCTCCGCCCGCAGCCCAGCCCTCGAGCCCCGTCCCAAACCCACCAATGTGGTTTCCCCTCCCCCCCTCTACTCCCACCCCCTGCCCCTCATCATCGTTTGTATCGCGCCACCCTTGCACAATACCCTGCAGCTGGAGGGGGAGTCCTTCGACTGCCTGTTCGTCTCCCCCCTGAAGCGCGCCCGCCAGACAGCCGACATTGTGGCGGGCAGCAGGGGCCTGAGGACGCGCGTGCTGCCATCACTCAGAGAGATCGACCTCTACTCCTTCCAGGCGCGTGGCCCCGCTCCCCACCCACCCCACCCCACCCCCCCCTGCAGCCGCCTTGCACGCCGATTGGCCGGCCGCAGATGCCCCTGGCTGCCTCTGCCACGCTGATTTTCTGGGGGTGTTGGGAACGCCTGTGCAAGGGCGGGAGCCGCGCAGCAAAAACGGCTGTGCGCCAGCCCACCCGCCCACAAGAACGCCCACCACGGGCGCCCGCGGCTTCCTAGCCCCCGGCCCCCGGATGCACGCCCCCCTAAACCCTCCTGCTCCTCGCGTCGTCCTTCGCGGGCCACCCTTTGCTGTGAGATGCCCCCGGCTCCCTCTCCTGACTTCCATTGCCGGCTCGTCTGTACTCACTGTCACCAAATCGCAAACTAACACACCCCATCGCGTCGCAAATCGATGCATCGCACCCGACCACACCCCATCGCGTCACAATTCATCTCCACTCCCGCGCCCCTTCAAACCCCCAGGGCTTGGTCAAGACCGAGGGCAAGGCCCAGTTCGGGGAGGCCTACAAGATGTGGCAGCAGGGGCCGGCCGAATTCGAGATCGACGGACACCCGCCAGTCAGGTGGGGGCGTGTGCGGGAGGGGGGGGGGCGTGCGGCGGTGCAGGAGGGTTGAGGAGGGGAGTCAAGCCTGCTGCGGCACGTGCGTGGGATGCAGTCAGCCGGCCTGATTGTTTACTGCATGCCTGCGCCTGCTGCCGACCTTTTTTGCACACCCTGCTGTCACACACACACGCACACGCACGCGCGCACACACACACACACACACACACACACACACACATACACGCACATGTCGTCACCTACACGGACGCGCCGCAGGGAGCTGTGGCACCGTGGCAGCGCGGCGTGGCAGCACATTTTGACAGAGGGCGGCGCCGACCCCGAGGATGGCGGCGACGCCGGCCCCGCCAAGCCGTCGTGCGCCCTGGTGGTCGCCCACAACGCAGTCAACCAGGTGGGGGGCGCTTTGCAAATTCAAATTTAAATTCGAATTTGAGTTCGACGCCGGCGCCAGCCCCAGCTGCCTGGAGTTTTGCCCGCGTTTGACCGGGGGTTGACCGCGTTTGACCGCGACGCGGGCGGCCGCGCGGCGTCTGGCGTGGCGAGGGCCAGGCGTGTCGTGCAGAGGCGGCCCTGGTAGCCCAGCCTGCCCGTGTGGGCTGGAGTGTGTGTGTATGTGTGTGTGTGTGTGTGTGTGTGTGTGTGTGTTCTGGAGGGGCACACGGGGATGCTCGTCTTGTTTCTGCCATTCAATGTGCAATTTGTTGCATACTTGCTGCGTATGTTTTGCATCTGCTGATCCACACCACGCCAGACCCACCCTCGCCTGCCTCCATATCGTCTCCTTCCCCCCCCCCCCCCCCC